AAATAAAAAACGGAATGGTAGCAAAAAGTCCAGAGGAACACCTAAGGGTTAAAACAAAGCTTTAATGAAGGAAGGAACTCAAACTCACAACCAGATCAAAGTCAATAACTTTATTAGAAAAATAGGTTTAACTCACCTCACTGTACAGTATAAAACAATTCATTTGCAAGAATGCAAACACACTTGTTAGCAAAGAAACAAAACCAAACTCATTCCTGACCCTTAGAATCAGAGTCCATACTAGTATTAAAAACAACACAAATAAAATGAGCTTTTTCACAAACGTGGTAAAAAGAGAAAAGTCCACACGCCGCGATGCATTCAGGGCACATCAGTAATAATGATGAGACAGAGCTTAAAGGACAAATCCAACCGCACTACAACTCCCACAATGCATTTCTCTAGAGACTGGTGACCTATGATGCCAGATTCACTGCAGTATGACGGATTGATCTTGGATTAATATTGGTATAATCCCATAAAAAGACCAAACCAACAGTGAATGTGTCTGACAGGTCGACTCTTCCTCTGTGCCCCTGAGCAACTCTATTAAACATTATATTCACAGTGAACTCAGTAACTGCAGACGCTTGTTTCAAAGCAGAGGTTTGAATGAACGTTGAGCAGACTCTTGATCATCAGGCTGATACTTTGTTCTAACAGTTCATCAGAGTTCACATATTAAATAATACACTGATGTGACTTAACTTATTTCAACTCTGTTTTTAAGTTTAACAAACATCATTGATTAAGTACTTCTTACTATAAACACAATACTAACTAAATTAAGTCATTTAAAGTCACTAAAACTACTTGACCAAGAATGTTTTTTAAACTTACAAACGTGAGTGATTTTAAATTTGACACTTTGAGCTAAATGAACTCAAACTTTAAAAATAACAATTATTTAGTTTTGTTGACAGAAATGAAATGTTGATATATTAAGCTGTGTATTAACACGTACACACTGTAGACCTGAAGAGAACTGAATGTGTCTAGAACACACAACCTTCCTGCAGTCACTGAGTTCACTGCCGCTGTTCTGTTGGTATCCATTACATCTGTCACCAACTTCACTGGATGACAGAAACGGTTCGGGACCACTGCTCTAGATTCATCCGCTGCAGGAAATAGTCCTTTAACATTTCCTCCTGTTTGATTCAAACCTACGATCTACTTTACATGTGTTTGTAAAGAGTTCAACCTTCAGTGGAAACTAATGGACAGGCAGTCAGGAGACAATAAGAGGCTGACGCACACTGGCGGTACCGTAGAGCTGCACAGACGCTCTGGGTTACTAATGTTCTCCAGGTGGAAGAAAACATTTGTTGTTGTTTGTTTGGTGCAGAACCCAAAAAATGTCACATTTCACATGATTTTAATGTTTGAGTGAAAATTCAATCTGTGAGGTGACGAGGATTCATAATGACTCCTAACAATGGCAGATGTCTTCACTGGAGCCTGCAGCACTGGTTGCTGGTTTCAGACAATCCCTCACTGACAAACACATGGTGGGTTTAACCTGTGCAGCTCTACAGCAGCACTTATTATTTCTGGATGGATTGTCTCCTTTAAACTGTGAACATTGACCTCCAGTATAATGTGCACTCTGACAGTAAGGAGACAGGAGTTAACAGCAGTTACAGCATGACCATCAGTCCACTGACAGACGATGTGACACCTAAAATCATGCTCTCTCCATTCTAGCTTTCAGGAGCTGGACGTGAGTTCATGTTCTTCCAGTCCGGATCAATAAAAGGCAGCTTCGTTGGATCTCAGTGCTCGTTCATGTTCTGAACAAACACAGATGTTTGTGCAAAGCAAACATCCTCACATCGATGGCTACAAACAACAACAACAACAACAACAACAACAGTTTCCCATCGTGGAAGACAAAGGATGACTGTGGTTTCCAGGCGTTGGGGACAGCGGCTCCCAACCTTTCTGCTTCTGTACCGGTGAGTGAGCTGAGCAGAGGGGTGCAGTGGAGATTCTATAACTCAGAGGGATCTGAGTTTATTCTGAGCACATTACTTCCTGTTTGGGGAACTTTTTCTACAATTCTCTGTATTAAATGTATTTAATTATTAACAATCATAAAGACCTAAAAGGCTTTTTAACAGTCAGTGTTTTCTTGTCCCTGACGTTTCTTCTGTTAGACATTTCTCCACAGATGGGAACCAGATTCTGAGATATAGACCTGCTGTTTTCTAGCACGTGTTAAAATGAAGACCCCCCCTCCCATGAAGCTTTGGGCCCCCCAGGTTGGGAACCACTGATTTCAGATAGAAAAATAAACAGTTCTAAAGAGTTTGTAAACTCCATCCTCTCTCAGTGCGTGTAAAGACAGCCCAGCTCGCTGCAGGAGGTGCGTGGCGGCTCGCTGCAGGAGGTGCGTGGCGGCTC